TCAGATACGTCACCATCATATCGGACGTAGGAATAGTTGTACTAACTCCATTTTCAGCGTATTGTAAACCAAAGTAATCCTTTTCGATAAGTTCCAAATGTTGAAACACCAGGTCCAATAGAACTTGTCCTTTTGCTCGTTTCTGCAATGCATTTGCATGTTTCATTTCGCTTGAACGTACTCGGTCGGATCTGCTGAGAGAACGTCACGGACTTACGTCTAATTGAAATGTATGCTGCGTATCGTCTAGGAAAGTAACGGTGGCCGATAAGGATTTTAGTCTGCGATTCCTCGCTAACTCGGCACCACGAACGTGGTAGCTCCCGCTGGAGCCACTCAACGCTCTGCGCGACACACTCTCGATCATCTCAAATATGTGAAGGCGTGTCAACCACCTTCTCGACACCACCTCTCTGCTATGCTGACCACCTGCGTTGAGAATTCAACAGATTGCACGTTATCGGTATTTTCGTAAAAGCCCCTAGCACACGTTTATTCAATGGCAATCATCCAATTACTGCTCACAATTAACATGAAGCCTCAAGGTCCTTCCGTTTTACAAAATTTAATGCAATCTAGTCACACTTCTAGGCAGAGAGGACGAGGATTAATGTCAAAATCACTATATCCAAAAGTGATACAAACATTCGATCGTACGACCAAGAGTTACAGATTAGTACAATTAATAAGTTGACGCGTACGAAATGTGTCAGATTTGACAAACATTTAAAACGTTATGTTTCTTTTTAAAAAAAGAGAAAACTTATATACACAAAATACGCTTTAAGCGAGACCAAATGTTTTCGGGGCGAGCCTTGGTAAGCAGAAGCTATTAAGCGCAACTATATTGATAGAACATTGAACGCATATTTAATTCACACGCTTCGCTCTTCCGTCCTGTCTACTATTTTTAAAGGCTACGTATGCGCCAATTGGGAGTGCGGGACACGGTACAGCCGACAGGAAGGTCTCCTTGCAAAAACGACCTCGTGTTAATCAGCACCTCAAATCACAAGTAGATACGGAAGTGTAATTACTTTCCAGGTGTGTCATTAAAACCGAGTTTACCGAGCTTTCGGGTCAACAATCCAGCGTGAGTTACATAATCAAATTGCCAGAACAATGTGGAACGGGAATATTCTGAAAATAATTGATACACAAAAGAGCGAGAGAAAGAGAGAGAGAGAGAAAAAGAGAGACACACAGAGAGAGAAAGAGAGCAGAACTGGTGGTTCTGCAATTTTTCCCAGGGCTGGGCTTTAACATTGACAGATACATTTGCACAAGGCGGATATAACGTACTGTAGCTCCGAGGAAGCGTACGAACGCGAGATTATTTCAACAACGGTGCGCAAACAATGATATCGCGGGAACGTTGTTGTCGTCGTCGTCGTCGTCGTGCGGAGGATCGCGTCGCGCGCGAGGAAACGGCGAGACTCGCGCGCGGTCGCGGCGGGACGCTCCGCGGACAATTAAACTCGAGATTCGGCGAGAGCCGAGCCCGACCAAATATACTCACGTTCATGATACGTGCGGCACGTTCGGCTCGCGATCGCCGTGAGGCCCTGCTGCACGCGGGACACGATAAATTGTTCCAAGCGTACATACGAGCCCGGGAGCCTCGCTCCCCTCAGAACGGCATTGGACTCTCGGGCGAGACGAGCGGGACAGGCACCTTCTCATTATCGTCGTGCGGCGTGGACGTGCGGCATGACTTTTCGGTGCGCGGCTGCTGCGGCGGCGGCGGCGGCGGCGGAGCCAAACGGGCTTAGCTATCGGCGGCGCGTTTCTCTGTGCGTTGCACACCACCCGCGCGCGCGCGCGCGCGAGCGAGCGAGCGAGCGAGCGCACACACACACACGCACCCAGTATACGCGAAATCGCACCTCGCCGCGCGACGCCCGCCCCGCGCCGACGAATTTCTAATCCGGCACTTTCCACGGCCCCGCTACGATCATTCCTGCCAACGTATAAGGGAATGACAACGTCGCGGGTCGGATCTACGGTGGATCTCGCGCGGCTCCGCGCGCGCCGCGACGTTCGATCAATCGCGGACGAAAGGCATCCCGCGATTCCGCGGCCGGGGCTAGCGGGAATATACGTGCGCATAATCTATTCAGGTGCAGCTTACGTATATATGGGTACAATATACATATATATTTATATTCATATATATGTATATAGTGTGCGTATATATTATACATATACACATACATATATATATGCGCATGGAATGAAAGCAAAATAGTACACATGAAACGGCCGCGTTTTGCGAGCGTCGTTGTGGAACGATGGCCCTAATTGGCCCGTGACATCCCGATTACGCGAGGGATTTTGACGTCTAGTAGAAAGCGCGGCTGTATGACAGATTTGAAGTGACGTGCGTGCGCGTGTGCATGTATGTATGTATGTACGTAGTGCACGCACGATCGCATATGTTTGCGTAGCAGAAGGAGATCAAGCGTACATATAGCAAAAATACTAGTTCAAGGGTACACAAAAGCAGTTCCGTAAAGGCCCGTGTCCACGATGCTAGAACCATAGTATACCTAGTATGCCCACTCGGTCATTTGTTTCGTTCGGCGCCGATCCTTTCTGCGCATGCGCTATTAAGCGCGGAGCACACACTTTTGCATAAGTGCCACAAGCATATGCGTAACGAATTTGATTGGTCTATGAGCAAATGCACAAGGAAATGGACCAATAAAATTCATTATGCATATGTTTATGCACTTATGCAAAAGTGTGTGCTCCCCGCTTAACCAATCACTGAACTGTATTAAGCCTCGTCTACATAGAAGTCGTAAAGTCGTAGTCGTAAAGTCGTAGTCGTAAAGTCGTAGTCGTAAAGTCGCAGTCGTAAAGTCGTAGCCGTAAAGTCGTAATCGTAAAGTCGTAGTCGCAAAGTCGTGGTCGTAAAGTCGTAGTCGTAAAGTCGTAGTCG